AACATACCCTGGACTGCCGCCAACACTCCCTTGTGGCTTCTGTGGCTGACACTTTTTTCAGGGCCCAGCTTCACTTGGGGGTCTCTCCAGTCCTGAAAACAGGGCTCCAGATTAGGTTTTTGGCCAGCATCTCTTCTCCGATTTCTGTCTGCTCTTCGTTGGGGGTGGGGGGAGGCACGGGGCAGCACCTGGATGTTCTCTGGCGTCTTCTTCTGAGGCCGAACCTCCTCAGTCATGTTTCAGCAGTCTTTGGGAGGCCTTTGCGGTTGTGGAGCTGGCATTTGGGTCCCACATCTGTGCCGTCAGCAGAACGCGCAGTTGCAGGATATCTGCTGACACGGCTTCCCTGTTGTCCTTGGGATTGTCATCCCGCCAGGTGGGGATGCCAGGGGCCAGGGTGTGTGCGTGTGTCTGTCTGAGCAGTGTCTCTCTTTATCAGGGTGCCGGCAGCTGCAATGCAAGGGGGGTTGGTTATGCCAGGTGCCCTCGGCTTGTGCGCAATAGGGGCTGTTTTTTGCTTTTGTTGTCGAGTTGCAGCCGACTTATGGCGGCCAGTGTTCCCTCTAAACTGAGTTAGTGTGAGCTAGCTCACAGTTTTTTAGCCTCCGGCTCACACATTTTTGTCTTGGCAGGATGGCTCCAGTTTTAGCTACTTTATACAGTAGCCAAATCGCTCGCTCACCACTGTAATGCCAGTCGCTCGCAAAGCAGGATTTTTGCTCACAAGACTCCACAGCTTAGAGGGAACATTGATGGTGACCCCTTAGGGTTTTCAAGGCAAGAGACGTTCAGAGGTGGTTTGGCATTGCCTGCCTCTGCACGGCGACCCTGGACTTCCTTGGTGGTCTCCCATCCAAGTACCAAGCAGGGGCGACTCTGCTTCTTGGCTTCCAGGATCTGACAAGATTGGGCGAGTCTGGGCTATCCGTGTTAGGGATAAGGGCTGTAGCTCCGTGCTATAACACATCCTTGTGCCTGAAGCCACCTCCTCAAACATCTGTGTGACGCCACCCCTCTCTCCCCCTTCAGATCCCTCCTGAAAACCCACCTTTCTCACACAGACTTCTCCCCTACTGAAAGGAAGTCTGAGCACATAGAACTGGGATGACCGCAGATAACTTCCCTTCTATCCTTTACCTTTGTTGTCTCCCTTAAGTCTATTTTAAGCTGGTAAGCCCCTTGGGGCAGAGACCTGCCTTCTTGCACTCTGGAGGGCACTGTGCCTGGCGAACGCACCATAGAAATAACCAAACACTGGCCTGCTCCCTGGGCTCCAACTCCACTGAGTGAGGTGAGGTCAAAGGGAGACTGGGTGGGGGCAGTGCTTTTCAACCTTCTGTATCTTACGTCTCCCACCAATCACCACATCAAAGAACCTGAGTCCCAGCTTGACAAAAGCAAGAAGGATATGTATATGTTTACAAGCATTATTCCTGCCAACCTAGCAGTTCGAAAGCAAGAAATTGCAAGTAGATAAATAGGTACCACTTCGGTGGGAAGGTAACAGCGTTCCGTGCACCTTGGTGTTTAGTCATGCCGGCCACATGACCACGGAAATGTCATTGGACAGCATTGGCTCTTTGGTTTTGAAACGGAGATGAGCACCGCAACCCTAGAGTCGGATTCGACTGGCTTTCGAGCAAGGGAACCTTTACCTTTACTTTACAAGCATTATGTTGTTATATTTATCATTTATGCTAAGTTTTAAGGACATGGAAAATTGCAGAAGCCCAGCAGATAATCGCTGGGCAGGTAGGGTTGGCGGGAAGCAGCACATCAGAGATGCTTGATGGTGGGCAGGCAGAATGGGGGATTAGGAGAAACTCCCACATGTCCAAGGTTGCTACTAGCATGCCGAAAGGTCAGAGATGGATAATCCATGGCAGGTAAGGTTGGCAGGAAAGGGCACGTCATATACGCAGGTGGTCACGGGGATTGAGGGAGAATGAATTCTGTGTCCCAGCCAGACTATGTCTGTGTTCCACCAGTGATATGGATAACACTGGTTAAGAACCACATATCCAACAGCAGCCTGTGTGCTGAGACAGTAATTTTATAGTGTTGTGGGGGGGGGGGGCACCCAATGGTTCAATCCAATCCAATTAACTGGTATCTCCAAGTAAAGGATCTTGGCTACTAAGACTAGGAAAGGACTTTGAAGATGTAGCCCTCAGAGAGCTGCCAGCTGAGTAGGAAATGCAGGGCTTGATAGACTAGTGGCTTCACTCTGTATAAGACAGCTTCATACGGTTTTTGGGGAGAGACAGTGGCTCTGTGGGAGAGCGTCTGTTTTGCCCCCAGAAGACCCTAGTTTCAATGTTTGCCATCTCCAGGTCACAGGTAGTAGGTGCTGGTCCTTGGAGAACCACTGCCGGTCAGAATAGGCAGTACTGAATGGGATGGCCTGATGGCCTGACTCAGCTAGCAAGGGCATCTGTTCTTCATGCAGAAGGTCCCAAGTTCAGTCCCAGGCATCTCCGATTAAAAGGATCAGGTAGCAGGTGAGGTGAAAGACATTGACCCAAGACCTGGGCAAGTGGCTCCACTCCCAGTCAGAGTAGGCAGTCCCGAGCTAGACAGAGGAATGGCCAGATCTCGCAGAAGGCAACTGCACAGAGGGTCTAAAGCAGCTTCATACAGGATTCTTTTTTCAGCTGCGTACCTGAAACTGTCCAGCTGTCTGACTTCAGGGCTTCTATCCTCCAGGTCACAGGTAGTAGGTGCTGGTCATTGGAGAACCACTGCCGGTCAGAGTAGGCAGTACTGAATGGGATGGCCTGACTCAGCTAGCAAGGGCATCTGTTCTTCATGCAGAAGGTCCCAAGTTCAGTCCCAGGCACCTCCGATTAAGAGGATCAGGTAGCAGGTGAGGTGAAAGACGTTGACCCAAGACCTGGGCAAGGGGCTCCACTGCCAGTCAGAGTAGGCAGTCCTGAGCTGGACAGAGGAATGGCCAGATCTCGCAGAAGGCAACTGCACAGAGGGTCTAAAGCAGCTTCATACAGGATTCTTTTTTCAGCTGCGTACCTGAAACTGTCCAGCTGTCTGACTTCAGGGCTTCTATCTTCATTTGTGTCTTTGCCAGATTGGTGCCACAGGTGCCCTTTTGATAACCTGGAGTGGAAGCACTGAGGAAATCACCCCCCCCCCGTTGAGTTTCTCCCACCCTCCTGTGTCTTTTAGCGGGTCAGATTATCTGTGCAAAGAAAAAGTTGGCACACTAGAGCAATAAGAGTGTGTGTCAAGCTTTCTGCCCATGGCTGTAGCTCAACCCTCCCTTCCCTTGTACTCTTTAACACGACACAAGAGTGGAGCTCCTTTTCCTGGGGAGGAGATACTGTGGTGAGAAAACACGACTTTGTTTTCTGAATTTGTTTGTTGCCGTTGCTAAGGAATCCTACCAGGGGGGGAAAAATGCTGGCAACCTTTCTGGGCGGTAGGAGTGCTGAGTTCCGTTGCTACCTCTGGGGTTTGCTGCCAGCTCAGTCTCCCTTCGGTCCCTTTTCTGGTTTTGGTTGTCGCGCCCCTAAAGGAGGCTGTCTGTCCTCTTAATGAACTCCAGGGGGGTGTTTATCGTGTCCTTAATTGAGATCTGGCTTCGTAAATTAGCACAGTAATTGGGCTCAGGGAGACGTAATCTGTGTAAAGCTGCAGCCTCCGGGGGAACGGAGGAAGCCAAAGGGGAGAAAGAGGCTGAGCAGGGATAAAGGTGGAGGAGTTGGTGGGAGAAATGGACCAGGTTGCAGCGTTGGATGGGTGGTTGGGTGGGAAGGAACAGTCCACTCAGTTTCCAAAAGAAGCATGCTGGGTTTTAGGAGGAATATTTATTTCAGTGTTTGCTAAATGTCTCACAATTAACACCTTTGGACATTTCCGGGTAAAACAGACGAGCCACCTAGGAAATTTTACGTGGGCTCTGCACTGCTTGACTTTTTCCAGTTGACATTTATGCTCCCGTTGGAGCTTTCTCCAAAGCAAATGTGGAGAAGGAGGAAAGTGTGTGGAACCATAGAATCATAGAGTTGGAAGGGACTGATAGAGGACTGGGCCAGGTTACAAACTTCAGTCTGCATTTGACTGTTTTAGGTGAATGGGAACCAGTTGTATCTCCCGTCCCCAGTCACAGTCAAACATGTTGCAGCTGGCAGATCATTAAATGTGATCGCTTAGGAAATTCCTTCAAGTGTTATCGTATGGGAACTGAGTGCTTGTAAAAGAGGCAGTGGCTGGAAGGCAAGAGACCTAAAGCTGGAGAAAACATCTATTGGGGGGGGGTCACACACACAAGATAAAGTGTGGGGGGGAATTCCTCTGGAGGAATTTGACACACAGTTGCATGATCACACGGTCCTTGGAAGCTGCGGGCAGAGCCCACCACTGCGTGATCAGACACAACCACAGGTGAGTTAGGGTTGTGTGGGTTTTTTTTGCTGTTTGTTTCTGATGCGTTTAAACAAGGAATCGATGCATCGCATCTCCACACTGAGGGCTCCCTACGGAGTTTGCAATGATGTGCATACTGAGAAGAGGGGAAAAACAACAGCAAGACACCAGTATGATGTGCATACTGAGAAGGGGGGGGGAAACAACGGCAAGGAGTCGGGATGGCCTGATCAGACCATCCCGACGCCACGAGAGCGCGCCGCAGCAATCAGACATGGTAAACTCTGTCCATGGCTCGTCGCAACCCATTTACTACCAGATTTTCCCCGGTGTCTTTTTACTCCTGCGGCGGAGCAAAACAGGTTGCCGACGGGTACGGGGTGCTTCCCAGATGTTCGTGTCTGATCGCGCCCTTTAAATCCGCCTGACATTTGCGCCTATGGCGGTGCCAATTGTGCGTGTGATCACACCCTTGGATAACCTTTACATAGCTCCATTTATGTTAGAGACTTTAGGTGGGCTGCAAAGTGGGATGGGTGGGTTCCACTGCCGTCCCTGGTTAGAGACAGAATACTGGGGTGGCTTTACTCTCTCCTCTCCCTTTTTCTGTCTTTCAGGTATCCCTCTTCTGGGCTTTCTCTTCCTGATGCCCTTGACCATTCCATGGACCCGAATCTCCGTAGCATGGCTAGGAATAGCACACTACCTGGCTTGTATCTTTCCACAGCTGGGCAGTGTGCTCTACCACCTCTTCATGAACCACGAGGGAGGCCCAGCCATTTACCACACCTTGCTCACCCTTGACATGTGTGGGGTATGCATGGTCAACACCTTGGGTGAGTTAAGCGTTTGCTGTGTCAGGGGCCAGTTGCTTGGGATGGACCGATGCATGATGTCTGATGGGGAGGGAGTGTGGGACTCGGGGTCACTGGTCCCCGATCTCTGAAAAAGGACTTGGGGTGGGCGTGGAGGGGAGGCCAGGGGCAGAATGGGCCAAACTGAATCTGGTATGTACATTAAAGGGCCAAAGTCTTATTTGGGGGAAGTGGTGAGGCTTGGCTAAGTATAGAGTACTTTACATACATCTAACCAGTTTTTCTGCTGGAGGAAAAGAGGACAGATCTCCTTTGACCACTTAAAAGGGTGTACAGTGGATCATGGGTCCTGCACAGACAATATCTGTGTGTGATGAGGATTGTAATAAGAAAAGCGATTGGGTGAGATTGAGTCAGAAAGCTGGCTGGATCAAGACCAGGTTTAATCCAGGTAAAGATTCCCGGGATTGCGAAAGGGCCTGAGATTCTGAAGAATTGTTGCCTGTCAGAGCAAGTAATACTGAGCTGGGCAGACCAGTGGGCCAACTCGATGTAAGACAGCTTCGTATCTTCATAGATCTCGGGGAGAGAATGGAGAAAGGGCAGACTAAGCGATCCTGGGTGGGTCCGAGGAGCAAATTGCTGCTTCCTGAGAAGGTGGAGTGGTCAACATTGACGCTAGACATTAGAGGACAAACCATAAGTGCCTGCCATTGAGTTGTGACTGACTCACAGGGGCCATGGGGTTTTTGAGGCAAGGGATGAGCAGAGATAGTTTGCCATTTCCTTCCTCTGCATGACCACGGCTGACCCTGCTTAGCTTCCAGGCTCTGACAAGAACAGACGAGGGTTATTAGGCAGCTATGAAAGCAACCAATGAGAAGCTGTGCTAACCTCTCTCTCTCTCTCTCTCATCTGCAGGCGCTCTGCCAATCATCTATTGCACGCTGGCCTGCGCCCCGTTTCCCCGTGCTATTGCCCTGTTGTCCTACACAGCCCTTTCAACCTATGCCATCTTCTGCGCAGTGACTGCCCGCTCAAGTGTGCGGCGCCTGCGGTCCTTCGTCTGGCAGGCCCTCTTCCGCTTCTTCTTCTTCTACCTACGCTGGGTGGGACTGGGCAGTGGCCACCCTTCCTCTCTGCGTTCGTACCTCATAATGGATGGCTTAGCCCTTCTTGGGGGCGTCATCAACATCTCTAGAGTGCCTGAGCGCTGGAAGCCGGGCCGCTTTGACTACTGGTTCAACAGCCATCAGATTATGCACGTGCTGGTGGTGGTCAGCATCCTCTATCTCCACTGGGGTGTAGTGGCTGATCTACAGTGGATTGCCAACTATGCCTGCCCGACAGATTGACCACACTGTGGCCACTCCTTTCCACAGAAGAATTCCACTGATTGAGAAGTGGGAGGACTTCTGAGGTGTGGGCTGCAAGTTCATCATTCAAAGTCTTCTACAAGGGCTGATGGACATGGAAGGACATGTATATGTCTTCTGGATAGAACCTACTTGGGTTTTGTTCTTGGGGGCTGTAGTTTTCCATTGGTTGAATACTTGTGGATCAACACCTGTAGGATTTGGATACTTCCAGTTATACAACAATGGATTTCCATTGGTTGAGGTGCTTCTAGAACAGCTTACGAAGTTCAGCTGTTCTTCCAAATTACCACCATGGTGAGACGGGGAAAGTGGACAAAAGTTCTTTGATGGTTGACGTACAGTCTCCTAAGCTGTAGTTAATTATTGGCATCATAGATACAAAGGTTCTTCATGAACTTAAACCTCTTACGTCAACACTCTTTGGCTGTACACCTTTCCCCATTACCACAGATAGCGTTACGTTGGCTGTGGTGGTGGTTTAGGAAGAATACCGTTGGACATCCCTTTTTCTCCACCAGGTTTGGGGATGAGATATGCACTTGGAAGAAGAGGGGGTTAGTAGAAGATGCTTGTTTTTTGGGTACAGCTTCTCTGCTTTATAGAGACAGTTATTTAATAGACTTTTTATCCAGGTATCTTTCAGACACCATGCAATACTTTTCTTATTTTTTTAAAAGGGCTGGTTAGACACTGGGTATCAAGGTCTGCTGCACTGAATGGTATGGAAGATTTGTCTTTGGTGGTGGTGGTGGTGGGGTAAAAGCATTGCTGCTAACCAGCTTACAGGGGAGGGTGCTCTGTATGCATTTTTTGTTCTGAAATGACTTGAAGCACTGAACCAGCTTTCCCCTTCATCCACAGGGGACAATTAAAGGCCTTGAAAAAGGAATAGGGGTGGAAGTTCAGGGGGCAGTGACCCCCCCATAAGCTTCCATTTCTGGCTGTTTTCACCAAACTGGGGACTGTGGCTTCCTTTGCAGCGTGCCTCAGCTTCCCACTTCCCTCCCGGTGGAGAGATCTGGGGAGAAGGGGGTCAGCCCTGAATGTATCTGTTCTCGGGTTGATCCTTTTAATTTTTCCCCTCCTTCTTCCTCCCCCAGTTATACATCTACTGCAGCTGGTGCTTTCCAGAGCTTAGTTTAGCATGCATTTGAAGAGAGCATTCCGTGCTCCACTTCCTAGTGGCTGCTGCTGCTGCCGTCACCACCACCACTGTAGTGACAGTGACCCTGTGAGGGAGCCACAAGCTACTACTGCTTTCCTCTCTTGTCCTTTCTTACGGGCCTTTATGAGCCACAAGGCTACTTAAGCGTTCTTCCTTCATTTGACCACCTGAATTAGCCTGATTGATCGATGTTGGAAGAGCGCAGCGGAGTTCTGTTTGCTTCAATCTGAGTGGCACCACCAGTTTTGACTGTGAGTCTGAAGGGCGGAAGAGCCAAGATTTTTGGGTCCCTGATCAGCAACTAGATTTCTAGGAGGGCGTTTTTGAGAACATAGTCATGAGTGGAATTGCCAAGCCCCAAACAGCTTTCTAGCAAGTCCGGTTGCCATAAACACCAATTCCTTCCACACTCCTCTCTGACTGCTGGGTAGGGAATGGTAAATCAGGCATTTCCTCCCCCCACCTGTCGGAGTTAAATTTATTATTGGGGGAAGGGGGTAGCTGCTGACCCACAGTTTAGGTACTCTCTCTTAGTGCAAATAAAAGCCAGTAGTAGAGAGAAGTCCAGTGGCACATTTTTATTCTAGCACTTCTGCACTGGACAGACTGAGCTCTTATTTGCAGAAGCATCGGCTAGAATACAAATGGCTAGTCTTTAAAGTACCACTGGATTCCTCACTCATGCTACAACTATGATATAGATCATAGTTGTTTTTTCTTTAGTTGCCATAATGGTCTTCAAAACCTAGGCTTTAAATGTGAGTTGCAGGGTGAAGTTGGGTTTATTTTATTTTTTTAAACTGTGGTCTCTTTGTCCTCTGGGTCTCTTGTTCAGCCCCAAAGGAAGGCACCTAAATCAAGGCCATGAACATCAGCATCCCGACCCATACTTGGGGGCCATTGTAAATAAAGATAAAATATTTTAACATTTAATTTAACATATATATTTTAACAGATTACAAGAAGATGGAAGAAGTTCTTTCCCATCCAACTGGGATTCTATATTTTGTATGCAGTACCACCTTAATCTGAATCTTATCTGTTTAAAGTGGCTGAGAAAACAGAGCATGTATGAACATAGTTACAGCCTGTTTTGGAAATTCAGATATCTAGTTTTCATGTAGTCGGGCAAATCAAACAGGATTCTGGTCCGATTCAGGGCCAAACCAGACATGATAAATAGCTGGGCATTTATCTTTTCCCTGCTGTTGGGTGAGTACAATCTTGAAGGCAGTTGGAGAGAAAAGGTTTACCTGTATATGTATTCTTACAGGAGTGAAAAACAGCTTGGGAGTAGGGTAGGCAGGTTATAGAAAAATGGCCAGAGGGAAAGGTGTTAAAACAATCCCTCCCCATTTTTCTTTTTACACTCCGAGCTGCTTAAGGATACTTTTCTTTTTTTAAAAGCAAGCAGCTGGGGAAGAACAGATGCAACTGTGTCATGTATTCTTTTGGCCCTTATCTTTGTATCAAATGGCTAATCTGTTGGGGTTGGGGAATTTTGGCATTGCTGCAGACAAAAATTGCTAAAAGCGAATTTAAAAAGTCAGATTTTTAATGGGTCTTGGCAGGAACAATTACCCTAAAGCAGGGTTAAGAGTTAAAGATGCTTCCCTTGAGGAAATATGAAATCTGGGTCTCCCATTTGCCACAGGTTTTTTGCAAGCGGAGAAGACAGTTGGCGGCCTTAAGAGAGAAGCTCTGCAGTGAGGGGTGAGGACTGACTTAGGCCTCCCACATTGGGGTATGAAGCGTGTTTTCTGCTCTCCTATTTTTGGGGCTGGGGTTTCACCTACTCCCAGCCTAGTCTTGTCTCTTGTTATCTCAGGGTAATCGGACATAACTTAATGTTCGCGGCTTCTGTGCTGAAGCTACATATCTCTTAAAAATAAAAAGAGCAAGGCAACAAATAATTTTTAAAAATGCACTCCGGGAAGGTGGGAGACGGGGAAACTGTAGCTGTTTATGGTCCAGAACGCCCTGTTGGACAGGCAGCAGGTCTAGGCTTCTAATAAAGAGAGATGTCTAAGGACGATTGTGTCATTTGCCCCCTTGGCCTGGTTTGTTGTCTCTGGTGCTTCCTCAAGTCTACAAGCCAGACCCTCTTGAAACTCACCCTAAATTTCATTCTAGGCCCTTGGAGGTCTGAGGGGTTTTTTTTTGGTGGGAAGTAAGGCTAGAAGAACTTTGGGGCCTTGATTGTAAATGACCACAGCAAGCATGGCAGCTGCTTACCTGCATTCATTGTATGTGGTTTACCTTTTTTTTTAAAGAAAGCACTTAAATTCCATTGGGGTATGAAAAAATGCTTAAGGAGAATTCCGGAAATACCACCCAGAGCTACCAACTGAATTCTTTTGAAAGCAGTGGAATTACAGGCCTCAGTTAATCATCTAATTATGAACTTGGATTCTGTGGAACTAAAATTTGGCAGTCTTGCACTGGCACCAACTGCTGTGTTTTGCTAAGCTAGTGTGGGGGTTCAAGCAGAACCTCAGACTAAATCAGACAAACATGGACCTTTTTTTTTTTTAAAGAATACTCACAAATTGTCAGTTGTTAATGTCAGGCTCACAAGACTGTGCAGGAATCCTAACATTTCCTTTTTAGTTGTAGTGCAAGAAACCAGAACAGACTACAATGAGTTAGGACTAAGTTAACAGAGGTGATTGACACTTTGATCTTATAGACCGTGCTCATCTATGCAAACCCCTCTATGTGAGGGAAGTATGGAATTTATCACCACAGAAGTTCAAGGTACAGCAATAGGGCTAAAGCACACACATACCTAAGAAACTCAGGAGGAAAAAAAATCCTGCACATCCCAATTTTCATTCTCTTTATGCAACACCATTTATGAAGGGCTTGAACACTAAAGGAAGAGATGAGGACATTTGCAGCCCTGTCCAAGGTATGCACACTGTAAGGTAAATCCCACTGAGTTTAATCAGCCTTACTCTCAACTATATAAAGGATTACAATCTTTGCTATATAACACACAACAGCCTTAGGGGAAATGCAGGGAGCCTTACAATGTAATCCTAGGCAGTTACTCCAGTCTGTCCACTGATTTAAGAACATAAAGAGAAGCCAATGTTGGATCAGGCCAACGGCCCATCCAGTCCAATACTATGTCATACAGTGGCCAAAAAATACCAGGTGCCATCAGGTGGTCCAGCAGTGGGGCCAGGACACTAGAAGTCCTCCCACTGTTGACCCCCCCCCCCAAGCACCAAGAAGACAGAGCATCACTTGCCCCAGAGTCCCTATCTATAATACCTTGTGGCTAATAGCCACCGATGGACCTCTACTCCATATGCTTATCTAATTCCCTCTTGAAGCCGTCCATGCTTGTAGCCGCCACCACCTCCTGTGGCAGTGAATTCCATGTGTTAATCACTCTTTGGGTGAAGAAGTAC